AGTTATCGAAAACTTTCGTCATGTCACCAATGAATTCAGACAATTTCAAATAAATATTTTTGTTGACTTTTTCTTCTATTTGTTTTAAATCTGTAACGAATTACAATAACATAAAGAATTCCATGTAAATATCAATTTGAAATTATTTGACTTTGAAATTTTAATTCATCCTTAAAGCCGGTCTCAAAAAAACTGAATTTTCAATCGAACATCTTCGAATTCGAATTAATAAGTAGTTTCAAAAATTTTCACGGTCGCGATTAGATCACACAGGCGTGAAATCTTTTGCTACCTAATAGACATATTGCAGTTTTTTGTGCACGTAGACGTATTGTGATTATAATAGAGATAGATCTTTTTCTTTTTAATTTGAATTCGAATTTTGAAATGTTATATCTAAATCGGGCATGGGCATCAGCCGGCCAGTGGCACGCATCCGGCCTCCGATTTCGGCGAGTTCGGCCCGTTTCAAATAATTCAATTTGCTCGCATATAGCATTGCTGTAAGTGGACTGTATCTCCCCCTTCATTACCTGGGCCAACTGTACCAAATATGAAACGTATTTCGAATTTTTTTTTTCTTCTTTTATTGTTCTTGCCCATTGGACTATAAAAATGAGCGATTGAGAAGGAAGAAGAATATAGTTGGACCTTGTTCTGTTGATAAAAAAAGTTCATCCCCATCTTATAAATTATGTTCACGTGTTTGCAGACATAAAACAAACCTGCACGGTAATACACGCGACGTAACCGTCTTGAATAAAGCTTATTCGTATCATACCGTCTTTTACCACGAATCGATGTCAGAGTCAATTGTGCGGATTTTTTTCGAAAAGTTGTACAATTCGCGACAACGCTATTTTGCTTATGCGAAATGTACATAAACAATTCGATTTTCGAGGCGAATTGTCATTTATGGCGAAAATAGTCGGATAGTTTTAAAATATTGATATATTAATTAATGTATTCACTACATTTTTTAAGCGTTTTTATACTAACCCATTGGTTCTTTTATGACATTATAATAATCAGGTGCTTCCTTGGGATCAACGGGCTCCATAAAGGGCCAAGCGCTTTTGTGTGACTATGAAAATAGATGAAAATAGAAATTTATCATTCTCCGTAAAATTGTATATTATGTAATGCTGATGAAATATGGAGAAACTCCTTACCTGGATTTGTTTAATAAGCTTCCGTAATTCAATCATTTCTTTTTCAGTTAAATATTTCATGTTTGCCATATTCACAGAGTTATTTTTTTGACAAGCAGGACATACATACTCATCAATGAATTCCGCTTCGCTCTGTACAATACCCACGCATCGTCCATGAAACCAGTCTTGGCACTTATCACAACATATATAGAATTGAGACTCGTCGTAGGGTTGTCGGCATAAGCAATACAACTCCTGTGTCTCTCTTGCTCGTTTACAATCATCACAGATAAATTCAGATAGTTTTTTCGATGTTTCCTCTGAAATATTTACACAATCGCCATGGAACCAGTTGCTGCATATATCGCAACCAACGTAAAATCTGAGATAATACGATTTAATCAAAAATAAATGAATAATAATTTCAATGCAATGATCGAAGAACTTTTTTTCTTATTTTCATTCACATAATTTCAGTTTTGCAATACGCCGCTCCCTACTAGAAACCTATAAACTATTCTTATTAGAAATAAACCAATATAATGGAACTATTACTGTGCGAGAAGCCTTAGAGCCAAAGGAAAGTTTTTTTTTTTTTTTTTAAATCTAATAAACTAACTAGTGCTGGTATCGATTGACCCAATGGCTTCTCTAATTACGAAAACAATAACTTTTCGTTCAGAAAGCGTTGTGTTAGGCACGTGTTAAAGCGATCACCTTTTACCTGATCTGGCAAAAAAAAAAGAAAAATTAAATAACTAGTGTCCACTCTGAAGGCGGCGAAGGCCTCTCTCAAGATGTTTTAAAAGTAATGGTTAAGGAATCGCAACATTTTCATAAATAAATAAATTTTGCAAAAATTTAAAAAAATAAATAAAATGATGCGTACGATTTTCTTTTTAATATTCTGTCATATTTTTTTTAATTATTGTAAGATCACCCATAGAGTGTATACGTGAAACTTTTTATCGTTGAATTTGCGTGCAAACGCTGCCAAACTTAAAGTGGATATCTGCGGGCCAGGATAGTGTAAACAACTCACTTGAAACAGATACACAGACGGATAGACATGGCGGCTGCGCCAATTCAGAATTTCATGCTGATCAAGATTGTCTCTCTAAAGCTTCCTTGTTGATGTTGCAAGCATTTTAAGAAAACGAACAACGCATTTCCATTCTTCGGTGATGGGTGTAAAAATAATGTTAGCTAGATAACGCTATGACACATTTGCTCGCGGATATATATACGTTTTTAATAATAATAATAATAATAATAATAATAATAATAATAATAATGACAATGTACATACTTAGTATCGTCATATGGAGTACGGCATATACAATAAAGTTTTTCCTTCTTTTTGCCTAGTTTTCTGGGCTTTATTTGTTGATTTCTTAGGCAATAATCAGTTGTGTCACTCAAGTTGGATTTGTTATTCATCTGTTTATAATGTCTGCAAAGATATATTATATAATATATATATGTATTTGTATGTATATAATAGGAGTCCTTTAAAAAACTAACTTTTTAGTATCTGAAGAAGCAGAAGACTGCCAATAATCACTATCATGTTTTCCTTTATTTGTGGAAGACTTCTTTACCATTTCGCCTTCTATTTCAAATTGCAAACTATGCTCCAGTAATGAACGCTTCTTCAGTATATTATTTTTCAAAGCATTCTTGTGGTGTTCCAGAGTTTGCTAAAAATTAATGAACAAATAAAGTAATAATTAAAAATATATTTATATATCTATGCCCCTTTACTACCTCCCACCGCTATAAGGTGACAAATTATTTTGAAAAATGTGGAGCCATAAGCTGGTGGTCTACAAGGCCACTTTCAAAAAGGACTTTTCAAACTGGCCCAAAGAAATATTATTTACGAGTACATACATCAGTTATAGATCAATAATAGTTCGCTATTATGCAAATCGTTTTAGAAGTTTTAGAAGGCACCCACACACAATTGTTTGCATTGGCTTTCCAACCAATATATATGCGCCCCACAAGTGTATTAATCAAATTTCAATTTTCTATCTAATTGTAATGACAGACAAATGGACAGGGGTCCGTGTACCTCGAGTGACTCTGAATTTTGTTTGTCTCTTCCACACACACACCCCGCATAACCTTTAATCCGAGTGGTGGGTAGGCGCAATGATCCGATTTACATTTTTATTTTCTTACTTGCAACATATTGTTATCGGCTCCTGAGTTTTGTACAATAAATTTATAATCCTGAGAGTTTGATTTCTTTTTAATAATGTTTACGCCATCAGCATTAACCATTGTTCCAGTTTGTGCAGAACGTACACGTGATATAGTATTACTGTCACTTGTAGATTCTGTTGAGAAAATTTCATCACGAGATCCATTCAAATCTGTGAAGAATTTCAAGGAAAAGAAAAAAAAAAAAAAAGAGAGAGAGAGAGAGAGAGAGAGAGAGGAAAACCCAAAAATTCATCAAATATATTAAACGAAAACATATTTAGATTTTACTTTGCTCGAATTCGGTGGAGGACAACATGTTTGGTGAGCATACGTTCGTTATTTGCGTTTTGGTAATTGTTGGTGAGAAATTGTTGGAAGGAGAGTTTATATTAAGATGATTTTCATGTGCTTCGCTAATATTCGAGAAAGTGTTTTGTGCTGCTGCGGCTGCTGCTGCTGATGTTGTTATTGGTGTTATATTACATTTCTCTGCCGTTGCCGAATTTATTACATATGAACTCTGAAATGTATGGTATTAAGAAAAAAACAAACAAAAAAAAAAAAAAAAAGAACATATAGAACAATTAATTATTGAAAAAATTTGTTATGTTTTAATGTTTTTTTTTTTTTTTTCTTTTTTACATACGTAAATAACGAGGTATGGAAAGAATGTTCATTCAATAATGTCGATTGGAGGCTTAACCTACCTACCTTCATATATGGAAGGATCAGTTGTAGAACTTATTCCAGGAAACCTTTAAAAAAGTTTTCGAAGAGATTAACAATTATTCAGAAAACATTTTCATTCGATTGGTATTTGAGATTTTTTTTTTTTATTTTGGTTTTTTTTTTTTTTTTTTTTATGAATCAATTTAAAAATACTATGTCAAAAAGTTGAAAATTAAATCAAATTAAATTTTTTTTTTTTATTATTTTTTTTTTTTTTTTTAAATTTATCGATTAGATGAGATGATTAAGACATGAACAAGCCTTTGTGTTTTCAATTTATTTATTTAGTGCTTTTAAGTGTTTTGATTTATTTCAATAATCAGGGTTAATCTCTTCAAAAAGTGTTTAAAGATTTCTTGAGTGTATATTTTTATTTTTTATTTATTTCTTTTATTTATTTTTTTTTTTTTTTTCAATTTTAATATTAAAACAGAACAGAATAAAAATATCATATTCGATAGATTCGCATTCCAATTCACAAAATATTGGCAAGATATTTTTGTTAACACAAAGGCCAATTGCAAATAATCATCCAACTAATTCGTAGTTCGTTATTATATGGCCCTATAGCAAAAAAAATTATACAAAGTAAGCAAAAACACACAATTCTCAGTTTGTCAAGAGGAGGAGATGATACTTTTGAGACATCTTTCAAGACGGCCGGACGAAAATGAGTTTGACACGTCAAGGTCATCATGCGAATATCCAATTAAATCGTGCTCCCAAAACTTGATAAAACTTCATAATACGAGAGAGAGTGTGTTGTTCTCGTTCTCTCGAAAAGAATCAACTTGAAAATATATATATATATATATATAAAAAGTAATAAAATGTATCGCGACTTGGTTTCTCAAAATCAAATTTTTCCATTTACCATATATAATAATATATATGCACATATATACATATTTTTATATAATATTCATTTCTTGTCTTTTCTTTGAGATAATATTTCATGAAAGTTCATTATTAAGTGGAAACGTATCCAAGAGAAGTAGCAGTTTGCCCGACTAACTAAACTATGTGCAAGATTTTTTTTTTTTTAAAGTGTCCAATAAAGGTATCCACGATTTAGCCTAAGTAGTTTCATTTAATAAGTAATGGCTTAAGTGGGGGTGGATGTGTGTCTGTGTATGTGTGTTTTGGGGG